CTCCAATGGAGTTAAATATTTTTTGCTTTATTTTTATGTAAAATATTTCAGGTCTGAGGAGATGATAAAACTGATGAAGGTGGTTTCTAGTTTTCTTCCACACATGTGTGAAACATAAGCCTAATTTAATTCTGCAGCTCATCTGGGATTAAGCTTCCTAGGAAGGTAACTGTAAATTTCATTTTTTTAAGAAGTGCTTTCATTTTATTTTTTATTTTTTTATCATTTTACTTGTTAGTATTTGCAAAAATGACAAAATTTTGTGTCTATGCTTACAAAATAACAGTTTCTGTATGTCAACATTTTGTAAACACATAGACAAATCTTTCTGTATTCTCAAAATTCCTTAGTAAAAATCCAGAAATTTACCTAATACTACTGGTCAAAGATTATATATATATTTTTTTTTTCTTGTAAGACAATCATGGTAAAGAAATTCTTTTGGGTTCTGTCCTCTGTGAGCAAAAATGGCTGTGAGCCCTTCAAATCCCCTGTATACACATTCTTGTAGTCACGTGACGTCCACGTGATCCAAGAATGATAACCTGGTTTCATTCTCACGTGATTGTATGATTTGTGGCCCAGATAAGTTGAAAAATTCATTGCTTTATTGGGTTGTGTGTGCTCATATATCCGTTAGATTGTATACCAGTTTACCGTTTCTAATAAAGCACAGAGCTCTATATGGGCTTGGGTGGAAATTACTGAATTAGACTGAGGTATGCAAATAGGATGGAATAATTTTTCAATGCAATGTTAAAATGTATCCGAACATTTTGTTTCTGATGATTTTTTAGGTCGGTATGATTTGAAATGAAGACTTGATGAATCGTGTCTCCACTGCATTAATGATAAGATGTGTTTTATCTGTAGTAAATTTGATGGTCCCTTTAAATATTTTCTTTGTTGCAAGGAGGGTTAAGCTAACCAGTCAATTGTTTGATTACAAGGGATCAAGATTTTTTATTTATTTTTCTTCTTGACTTGATTTTGTAGATGTTACATCTGATGCAAAGGTTTATATTAAGTTTAGCTGGTTTCTAATACCGTATGTGTGTTCGTTTATCCTTTCCACCGAACAATAGTTTCCACGTGGTTGTTATCAGCCGTTATCTACTTACCAAGTATGCACGGATATCACTATTGTAGCTCAATCCGATAGTGTTCTGTGCATGAATTTTGATCACAGGCCAGTCATTTAGGCTTGTTTTTGCATTGTTTTGGGTGCGGTTCAATGTTTCGGTTGGACCACAACAAATTGTATGTACTTATTGCCTGTGCATTTTTATTTTTTTATTTTTCCCAAAATGTGGATCTTCATTGCCATGTTTGCCAATGATTGCAATATTTCTGATTATTTTTTAAAGCAATTTCGGCATTTTCAGTTTGTGGCACTATAAGCATTTAACATCTCTTTTAACCGCTTTTGTTCTTACTCCTGTTTGGATAAACATTTGGCTGCTTTCGCGAGTCGATCCTGTTTTTCTGCATTTTCGTGTAACTCATCACCAAATTTTGTTGACTTGTTTTGACGAATTAATTATAACTAATGATTTTAAGGTTAGTTCCTACTAGTTTCACATTGTTGATTGTTGTGAACAATGAACACAAAACAATTTTCTCTCATAGCTTATAGTATTTGTTTTAAGGTTAGTTCCTACTTGTTTCACATTGTTGGTTGTTGTGAACAAATCAACACAACATATTTTGTCATAGCCTAGTATTTTTATTTATTTGTTAATAATTTGTTCCCTTTGTCTTAATATGCCTAGGATTTCTGCTTGCTGGTGCTTTGTTCTTATATTCAATTATTAATAACTTCATATAATTATCACCCGTGTTATATACTTTAAAGAGATTCGGTCGAATATTTTTAATAATGAAGTTATTAAACTATAGCTGTCTTGTGAATAAATTATGTGATCAATCCCAATACTTTGTTTATCTTTAATCCATTTTTTTATATGTATCAAAACTTTGGTAGGGTATGAAGTTGTATTAGTCTAAGGTCAAAGATCATCTTGTGAAGAAATATTAGAATAATAGCAAGAATATTATTATTACCTAACTTATGAGTACACCATTAATAAATCCATCATGGGATGCACTATTTTTATATTCATTTGCAGAGCTTATGAATCTTCAAGGCTCAAAGCTGTGTGTGTGTGTGTGTGTTCATAGATCTGTTCATGCACTGCCTTTCCTTTTCATACTTTTTTGCATTAGCATCTCCTTTTTCCTTGGGATTTATTGTTTTCTTGGTTCAGATGGATACAGTTAAACAACGGTCATCGATCACCCCAGCTAAGACCCGTTTGGCTAGCGCTTTCGCAAAGGTCCTTAACATACAAGCCCAAAAGGCAAAATCTCGCGAAAAGCTGAAAAGGAATCGTCAAACCAATCACGGCGAGACTCCCTCACTTGAGGCCGAAAGTGATGAGAAGCTAAAAGACCGATTAATTAACCAAGCTTTTCTCGCGAAGCTCTTCGCCAGCCTGTCTTCTATTAAGTGCGCTTACGCGCAAATGCAGTTTGCTGAATCCCCTTACGATGCGGATCGGATCCAATCATCGGATCAAACGATAGTCTCCGAGCTGAAAAATCTCTCCGAATTAAAACAATGCTACTCGAAAAAGCTGATAAAAAACGAGACCTCCTCGCCCGAGAGAACTCTTGCCTTGGCCGAGATTCAAGAGCAGAGGAGCCTTCTCAAGACATACGAGGTCACGATCAAGAAGCTCGATTTTCAGCTCAAGCTTAAGGACTCGGAGCTCACTTTCCTTCACGAGAAATTATTCGAAGCTCGCAGCGAAAACGAATTGTTGTTCGAGAGGACATTAAATTCGATCGTGCAATCGCATTCGGAACTCAAGACTAGCCATTTTACTACGCACCACCGGCAGGCAATAAAATCGATACGGGCCTTTGTCCGGGTGCTTGTTCGTGAAATGGAGTCCGCGGGCTGGGATTTGGACTCTGCCGCGAGCTTGATCGAGCCCGGAGTCTCGTTCTGGAGGCGGGCCCACAAGTGCTTCGCGTTCGAGTCCTACGTTTGCCGGCATATGTTTGACGGGTTCGAAAAAAGCGATTCTTCGAAATTTGCTTCGTTTTGCCGGGAGAAATATTTGAAGCTCGTGCACCCGAGAATGGAGGCATCGTTTTTCGGGAATTTGGAGCAGAGGGAGCTCGTGGGGTCTGGGCAGGGTTTTCCCGAGACGGGTTTTTTCTCGGCATTTTGCCAGATGGCAAAATGCGTGTGGCTCTTGAAGTGTTTGGGCTCGAGTTTCGAGCCGGAGGAGGCAACGGTTTTTCGGGTGGCGAAGGGGAGCCGGTTTTCGGAGGTTTATATGAAGAGTTTGAGCGACGAGGCTTTCTTGGTGTCGGGTTCGGGCGGGTCGGGAGGGTATCCTCGGGTGGCGTTCACGGTGGTGCCCGGGTTTCGGGTCGGTAAGACGGTGGTTCAGAGTCAGGTGTATTTGT